GCGAGGACACCCCCCCAGGACCTCTCGCCCAGGACCCTCCCAGACCTCCCAGGACCTCCCCACTAAGGATGCCCTGAGGACCCCCCTAAGAAACCCTCGGGGACTCCTTCCCCTGAATGCCCCCCCAAGACCCCACAAGGGCCCCTTGCCCAGGACCCACTGAGGACCCCCGAGAAACCCCCTGGGGAACCCTCCCCAATGAGGACACCTCAGACCCCCAGGATCCCTTCCCCAAGGGTCCCCTCACTGAGGACCCCCTGCAGCCCCACTGCTGGGCACTTTGGCAGCCCAAGACCCACCGCAGGCACACGCGGAGAGGGGTCATTAGCTTCCCGGAACGGAGAAACAGGAAACAGCCGCGGCTGGCGCTCCTGCCAATTTCCTCGATGACTTTGGCCAGAGCCCAGAAAGCTGGAAAGAGCCTGGGCCCACCCCCTTGAAAGGTCAGAGGAGGGCAGTGCCATGTCCTGGGGCCTGTGCTGAGCACATGTCCCAGCGAGGAGCCTGCGGACGGCTTGAGGCGGACGCGCAAATTCACCAACACCTCGTGCAGACACACCTCGTGCAGACTCGAGCCTCCCTTCTGCCCGGGGCCCAAAACAACGGCTTTCCACGGGGTGTCTGGGGCTTCCCGGCCGAGGGGCCTGATCTTCGGGCGGGTGCAGTGGGTAACCACCCCACATCCTAATGGAACCAAAAGTCACGGGCCAGTAACTGTCCCCTACAAACAGTTTTCTTTTCGTGCCCTGGCCGGGCATGGGGAGGCCGGTGGCCCTAAACACAAGGGAGGAGCCGCCCCGGCTGGCGAGAGGCCCCCGAGCTGGACGGCAGCAGGGGTGTCTGGCTCCGGGCCAGGTCCTTCCCACGCTCTCCGGCTCAGAGCTCACCTCAGGCACAGAGGTCCTGGAGCAAGGTCTGGCAGACGGGGCAACTGTCCGGGCCACCTTGGTACCACCACGGGGATGCTCGGTCAGCAGCATAAGGAAAGAGACAGGAAGGAAGGAAAGAGAAAAATAACTTAAACCTGCAGTTGCTGAATTATGATTTGAAGTCTTTAAGTAGATGATCCAGTGGGCACCTACAGCTCCCAAGGGCTTCCAGTCCCACCAGGCTCTGCATCTTGGCAGCAGCCCCTGATCTGTGGTCAGTGCCACCTCCTCACTCCCTGTGAGCAGGCCCTACACTTTTGAGGGCTCAGCGATCAGGCCTCCTGGCCCAAACCCTTTGGCCCTCCCTGTTGGGTGATGAACAGACTCCAGATCTGACCCAGGGTGCCAGGATCTGAGTCCCCAGAGATACTCCTGGACCCAGCCTTGCAACCGGGGTTTCCCTTCCTGGAATGCTCTCCCACCCCACCCTGGAGCTTGACCTTAGCAGCTTTACCCATTTCTGCAATGCCTACTTCACACGCTATCTTCTCCATTTAAACTGAGTTGAATCTCATCGCCAAGAGTGACCTCTCTTCCCCTAAATTCTCATGGCACCAGGACTCTTAAAATAATTCCACATTCTGCATGATCTCTGAAGGAAGGCTGAGGGTCCCATTCACCTAGGCGCCTCCCCACTTCCTATCACTGCATTACCTTGTTGATCTGACAAGAACAGGCTACATCAATGAAATCAAAATAAACGTGTTGACAACCGGTAATGAAGATGTTGACATGAAGGGAAGTTTGGTGACAACTATGATTCTGTGCAGCTTTTCTGTAAGCCTGAAATTATCTCAAGAAGAAGTTTTGAAATCCCACCCATGAGACAGAGACATAGAGGGACACACACAAGGCAGATTGTTAAGGAGCAATTTAAATACTTCATTCCCAAACTAGGAAATGAAAGACTGCCAGGTAAAAATAGGGAAGGTCTATGCTGACATGTGTCAGAAAGTATTACTCCAGGTTCTATGCAGTCGTCCAGCCAGACTCATTTGTATCCATGTCCCTGAGAGCATTTCTTTCATTTCCTCTTGTGTTTCAAGGGAAATCTCTTATTAGCTCACCAGCATTGTGTGTAGTTCTTACTCTTTGAAACCGTGCAAAAGGCAATGCGTGGGTGTGAGCTTCCTTCCCATCCTCACTGCTGCGTCCTCACCAAGCCCACCAGGACTCTCAAGACAAAAAGAAACAAGGGAAAAAAATTAAATATCATACTTTTATTTTTTTATTGCCAAAACTGTCTAGAGAGATAAAGCTGGTGTGTGCTACGTAATTACAGCACACTCAGTCTTTTCTCGGAAAAAGAGAACTGGGATTCTAGTGCAAGGGTCTGAGTCCTTACTGCAGTTGAGAGGCAAGATACTCTGATTTTAACGGGAGCCATCTCTTACCTACAGCCACGAGAGAGCAAGCTATCATGTTTCTTGTCTGCCTACAGGCCAATGTGCTTTGTGAAGCAGCTCGAGATCCCTCACTACGGCTACAGAAACAACGTCCCCACCACCACGCCTCGCTCCAACCTGGCCAAAGAGCTGGAGAAATATTCCAAGACTTCGTTCGAATACAACAGTTACGACGGCCATACTTATGGCAAGCGGGCCATAGCCCCCAAGGTGCAAAGCAGGGATATATCCCCCAAAGGATATGATGGTAGGAGGTGCACACTCGTATACATGAGAGTCACGCTTGCCGTTAATAATGTTGTTGTTGTGTATATCCGTTTCCTACAAATTGGTCGAGCATGTGGTCACTTAATGGGTACCAGAGAAAAGTCCATCCACAGCATGTGCTCATTGGCTTAAGGTGGGCATGAGCAGGAATCTGCAGGAAAAGCCCAGGGGCACACAGGTGGGCATGAGCAGGCGCCTGCAGGAGGGAGCAGACACCCTTTTCTCATATCCCCAAAGCAGCACCATCTGGCCATTTGCAGAATGTGGAGACAGACGGCTGTTGGCTCACATGCTTCATGCTATTGCTGAGACAGTGTCCTGGTTTTGATAAGCTCCCTTTAATACCTGGCTCCAGCACAAATAAGGCTGGGAGCCAGCAGTAACACCCCAGAGTTCTTGTTTATTTGAGAAGCTCTGCGTTACCTCAGTGTTCCCTGTCTTGGATGCACATCAGATCCATCAGAGGAGACTGACAAATCCTAATGCCCAGGCTGTACCACCGCCCGGTCACATCAGATGCCCGGGGTGACTCCCAGGCCGTGGCATTACTGTGAAGTCCCCAGTGACTCTGATGTGCAGCCCTGGGCAGACAGCCTCTACTGGTTCACCTTGGTCTGTTCTCCACTGGGCTCGTGGAGCCTGGCAGGGCCACTGTGGTGATCGACTTTGTCCCTGGCTGCACTCACAGCTGTCAGAACAGTCCCCACAGAAGGAACCAGTGAGACAGTTAAATGCCACGTGCTTCCCAGGGAAATGACTGTTCACTTCCACTCGAGCATTTAAACCCACTTCCATGGTATAAACTAGTGCCCGAGTTGCCACAGAGCTAACCTGGTAAGTGGTGGACCAGTAGAGAGAAGACTGCATTTCTTTGATTTTACTTATCTAACCACGTTTCTGCTTTAAATTCCAGGATATATGGACTGAGTTTCCCAATTGGGAAATGGGTTGTCTAAGTTTTGATGATTTAAAAGTCATATCATGGTGTTCTCAAGCAGAGGCAAGGGGAAGGATTTTTAAAGATCTTTGAGCTCCTCTCTGAAAAAGATATTTAATTAAAATCATAGTGCACAAAAAAATTCATTTAAAATGAATGCTTGGGGAGTTCTGAAACCTTTTTACAATTCAGTGAGTTGCCACACATCTTTCTAGGCTATGTTAGACAGCCCTTGCCTTGATGACCATTAATTTGTACAGTGAATGAAATATTTCCTTCATGTACCACATATTGACTCCCCTTGTGTATATCAGTTTTTACTACATAGGAACGAATATATATGTGGGAAAAAGAGAGTGGCTGAGGGTATAACAGAAAATAACTATGTTCTGTTTATTTTGTAATAATTCGTGAATTTCAGGTTTCCTTATAATGTATAATGAGTTTCATTCATTCAAGTGCAAATGAAGGCTCAAAAGATCTTGAGCCCCACATAATTAAGGTTCTGCTTGTGTGACCTCCGATTCATAGACATCTTGCTATGTCCTGGGGCTGCTTTCTCTAGATGCTCATTTCACTGCTGTTGCTGCTTGTGGCCTGATTTCCATGGTCTCATTGTTTTGGCTGGACTCTGGTGACGTCTTGGTGGTCGCGCATGTTTGTGTGGGTTCAAGGTCTGCTGCTGGGTCGGACGTCAAGCCTACTTGGGGTCTCCTCTCGGCTCTCCCACCCAGAAGCTGGATGACACTGGGCCAGTTCATCTCCTTGTGTGTCGCTTCGCTTGTGAGCAGAGTGGTGGTAGCGTGTCCAGCCCCCGGGCCTCCTGGGCACTTGTGGATGTCAGCAGACCCCTCTAAAGGGTGGGCAAACATGCGTCACCTCTTGGTGTTAAGTCTCACCTGCCCGGGAAAAGGTAACTGTTGTTGAAAACGGGTAGAGCTATGTTCCTCTGCCAGCCCGCAGGAAAGCAAAAACATGGAACAAAAACTGCAGTATTAGGTCTTCAAGAGACTCAGGAAAAGGAAAGGGAGCCTTTCACCACAATTTACTAGAAGGAACTCGTGATTCCCTTTCTCCTCCACCAGACTCAGCGGGCAGATTTTTAAAACCTCAAGTAAAGTGGCCCCTGGGCCAGATTGGCTGGGCAGGTTTCCTGCTGGGGGGTGAGCTGAGAAGAGCCTCTGCTGCCCCAGGGCACGGGGGCAACTCCCCACCCCCAGGGCCGCTTCAGGCACACGGGAACGAGCCACTGCCCCTGAGGAAGGATGGTGAACTGGCATGGGGAGGGCGTCAGAGCCCATGGGAATGTGGGAGGGGTGGGAAGGCAGGGCTCCTCCCCACTCTGAACATCAGCCCTGAGACCCCCCTGACTGTGAACAACACACCCAGCACACTGTGGTTTAGCCACTGTGTTGTTCAGATGCCTATTTGCTGTCTGTCTGTCTGTCTGTACATCCATCCATGCATTCACCTGTGTATCTATTCATCCACCCAACCACCTATCTGTCCACCCATCGCTCTGTCTATCATCTGCTGGGCTGGCTAGCTATCGTTTGTCATCTATCCATCTATGATCTGACATCTGTCATCTGTCTGTCTCTCCATCTATTTGCCATCCATTTGTCTATCATCTATATATCTACTCTTCCTCTCTTGATAACAGGCTTCTAGGAAAGATGGATAAATAGAAAGTAGTGAAATACACATTCATGCTCAGTGGAGCAAGCAGCCCATTCTGCCTGGAGGAATTAGTATGAGCTTTCCCAAAGTGGCCAATTTTAAACTCGGTTTGTGAAGCTTGTGTAGAAATTATGTGAAGACAAGAAACCCATGGGTCAGTGGGACGCGCCGGGGGCTGGTGCAGCATGTAAGAGGAGGGACAAGGGACAGCTCCGGAGACAGCCGGGGACGCCGTGGTGGTCTGCGGGCTGAGCTGCTGGGGCACCGCCGCAGGACGTGGAGATCCATGGGGGCGCGTGGGAGGGAAGGCGAGAAGGACAGGGGGTGTCCTGCCACAAGCACCAGCCCAGCTCCCCGATCCCTCCCCACTGTCCAGCCTGCTTTTCAGGGTGAGCTAAGAATGGCTGTCACATTTTTAGTTAGGAAAACAGACAAAGAGTCTGTGGCCTGTAGGAATTGTGTGAGATTGAAATCTCAGCATTAGCAGTGAAGCTCATTGGCACTCGGCCACCTGTTTCGGGTGGGGGGAGGCCGTGTGTGGTTGTGACCGACTGCGAGACCCACTCACCCTAAACCACATCAGAAAAAGCCACCAGCCCCCGGTTCAGACATACCCACTGTCTCTGGGCTGTTTGCACCTGTAACTGCCTCCCAGCCCTGGCTGGGCCCCCCCTTCCAGAACCCCCACTAGGGTTACCCCTGAAGTCTAATTTCCCCAAGCTGGAAAGTTCTGACCTTGTCTGAACTCCTCTTTGCTCCTGGGACACAGAGCCACTCTGGCGGGCCCTGCCCTGCCCAGGCCTCGGGCACGGCCCTTTCATGGAGCTGCCCCAGGCTGGACCCCATGCCACCTCCATGGAAAACCTGCCTGCACCCTTTTGCGCTTGCGTGCACCTGCTCCCAGAAGCATCTCCCGCTTTAGGTCCTCTGACGAACCCCAGCCTGCACCCACAGCCCCCGGCTGACTGCTCAGTGTTGCCGTGCAGAACATGGCACCCACCCTCTGTCCCTGTGAGCTCTGAGCCTCCTCCTTGGTAATCTCGCATGTGAACATGTCACCTTCCACTATACTGTCAGCTCCTGGAGGGTGAGAGGCCGTCTTCAGACGAGACTCCATGGCACCACGCCAGCCAGGAAGACAGTAGCCATGAAAATAACACAGGGTGAATGAGCAAGGATGGAATCAAGAACCACACTTGGATCTGAGGCCTTGAATCCTGTGTGATCCATCTGCACGGGAGGTGTCGCCTAATGTGACAGCCGAATCCACATTGCCGTTCACTCACGCTAAAGCACACACGTGCTCTCTGTGCAGACCGGGCATGTCCCCACTGCGAGTAGTGGCCTGCAGAGGTCTCAACCCAGTCGGCCTGAAGGCTGCCAGGTCCTACGCTGTGGGACACGCCCTCACATGTTTGGACTGTGCTCCTTTTTGCCTGGCTTTTGAGGGAAATTTGGATTGTAAGGACATGCTTATTTATCTATTCCCTATAGGAAAAAGTTAATATATAAGAAAGTGGACATTTCTAAGAGGATGGACACACACATTTAGTAAGACTCTTGAAAGCAGAATAGCTTGATGAAGTGATTCTGGTTAGAGGGTGGTTGGCTTTTTAAAATTTGTCATATTTGATCACCAAAAATCCCATGTACTTTTTCTTTTTCTGGCAAGAGAGGATGGAATAGTTAGAGAGGTGTTTCTCAGCAGCACTGTGTGTGACCTGGTGGGCTGCTGATGTCCAGGGCACGTCTCATCACTGCAGGGACGTGCTGGCACCTGGAAGGACTCCAGCAAGTTCTTGACTGCTGATGAATTGGAAGCAACTTGATTGCCAGCAGCTTTGCCAAAGAAAGTGCATTTTGGGGAGTTACAGGGCTCCCCTCTGGCCATGTCGGGGCTCCCTCCATACTGGGGAGGGGACAGGGGAGGTGCCAGTTTTCCTGATGCCCCGCTGCTCCACGGGGCCCCCCGTAGTCTGCGGGGTGAGCATGAGAAACCCTGACAGTGGCAGCAGATTACTGACGCCAACAGTTCTGCAAACACTTTACAAGTAGGTGATAATCATTAGGACCGAAGACCTTCAGCACCTGAAAGATCTGAAGTATAGAGACTCTTCGTTTTCAACAAAACAAAAAATGGTGGATCACATGTATTTAGTAAAAGGACGCATATGATGCTAGCATTGTGCCAGCTGCTTCTCCTGGATCGTGCGAACCGACAGGCCCATCAGATGGCGCGCCGTTTGCGCACCTCCTGAGGTTCCGTACCTGTCCTCTCGACCAGGAGGGGCCAGATGAAGACTCGCGATTCACAGCTGGCGACGTGGGTGCGCCGCACAGGCGGGCACTGCAGTTTGTCGCACGGACAGCGTCCTGCTTGGTTTCTTTTAGAAGCTGAAGTTGACTCATAGCAAAACAAAACTGCCATTTTTCTTATTTATGTGGACCACATTTTTCCTCTAAACCAGTGACTAATTCCCAGTAGGGAAAACATCCCTATAAGAATTATTTCATTTCTCCCACAATTTTTATATTCCTATTTCAATAACAAAATTGTAAATGATGTAAAAACCACGATTTCAGTGCACATAGTAAGTACCAGAGCTGCGAATTAGCATTGCTTTCCATGTGGTTTGCCAAACCCACTGGGCGGGTCCTGTGGGGCTGCCTCTGAAGGGAGGGTCTCTGGCAGGGCCTCTGGGAGGGTCCCCAGGCCCCGGGCTGGCCCTCAGCTCAGACCCGGGACCACGGTGCGCACGGCGCCGTCTGCTGCTTAGATAGGATGCATTCGCACAGGGAAGGCGGGAAGCCGTGTAGGCAGACACAGCAACCAGGTCATCTGCCCTCAGGGCTGAACTACTCAGGTCAGCTGAGAAGTAAGTTACATGTAAGGTACTTCTGTGCTTGGTGGGCCTGAGCGCAAGGAACAGACCCCCGGCGTGTGCAAGGGGACGTGCCTCTGGCACAGTTCTCTGCGTGTGCTGGCTCTGTCATGTCTGACGAGGACTGTGACAAGGTGCGGTGGCCTACTGCGTCCCCTGCGGCTGCCTGAGCCCTGAGCAGCTCCATGCAGCCAGGGGACCAGGATGAACCCATGCACTCCACCAGGAGGACACAGCCTTCCGTCCAAAGTTCTCTTCCCTCGCGCCTGAAGAAGGTGCTCTGGCTGGCTCCTTGGTGGCCCGTGCGGCCAGCAGGCGGGCTGTGTGAGGCAGTGCTCAGTCAGGCCTGTGTGCTTGTCCACTGGGCGGAGGGTACAGTGCAGGTGTTCCCAGGGGGCCCAGATTCCAGACTGGGCATCCCACAGGCAGCAGCAGGCTGCAGGGTCCCCTGTCCCCATGTTCAGCACAGAATTATCCAGCCAGGGGCCCTGATGACCAGGAGGCTGTGAGCACAGCAGGCACCCATCCATGCGCCCCACCACCCAGGTCTCCCCCTGCAGCTCTCGCCCACATGGGAGGGGCTGAGTGTGCTGTGGGAAGAGGGCCCCAGATGGCATGTGGGCTCTATAGACGGTGGCCCACCAGAGGAGGAGTTCAGGACCTGGAGGAGGGAGCAGTCCCAGCACCTCCGGCCTGAACTCTGAGCACCTCCTGACTAGGAAGGACTCAGGGTGAGAACTTTGGCCCTGTGCATGGGGACAGACACCCTGTGACCTTGGTGATGCTGGGGTGACAGCAGGGTGCACCCTGCTGAGCCATGCATCAGATGTCTCCCCATCCGGGTGTTGAAGGAGGGTCCCTGCCACTCAAAAGCAGTGGCCCCAGTACCTGTCTGGCTGCTGAGTGCTGGAAGGGTGGCCCCTGGGTGGCCCCAGAGGCCGCTCCCCTGCCACGGGGGAGGCATGGGGCTGTGCCCCTCTGCACTCATTACACAGTGGCATGGCTGTGCCGCAGGAGTGTGCCAGCCTCCTGCTCGCCTGCCACCCTACCCCCACGAGGCTCTGTGAAAATCACAGGATGAGACTTTTCTGGAGGAAAAGTGTTTCAGTTGCTCACTCCTGGCCTGGTGCCACCTCCCCCAGTGCGGGTGCCCACAGGCCTCACGGGTGGCCTTGGGAGGTCACCAGCATGCAGGCAGGGCGCCCGGCTGGCCACCGCAGCCACTCCTGGCTGGAGGAGCTGCCGCGTCGGGTCCCTGTCACCCATGAGCGCCGTCTTGATGGGAAGCCCCTGCAGCCTTGACCTGGCCGCCCGCCCGCTTACTTCCCAAGGCCGGTGGCCGAACCCTCCAGGCCAGCGCCTTTAAAGGCTCCGGAGACGTGCCAGGCCTGCGTGCCGTGGCCGCCCCGGCACCAGAAGCGCTTCCCCAGGGCTCCGGCGAGGAGCTGTTGGAGGGTGTGAGGAATGGAGCAGAAGCCATGCGTTTCTCCACCAGTCGGCCCATGGCGCCCGGGCCCTGGGTGGGCTGCGCACAGGGTGGGGCGGCCCCTCCTCCCGATACTGGTGTGCTGGGCGCAGGCCGGGCAGGGTCCCTGACACCCGAGGTCTGCGCGCAGGGCGGACCGAGACCCCAAAACCGGGGGGCTGTGCGCAGGTTGGCCTGGGACCCCGATGCCCGGGGGCTGCGCGTAGGGTGGACTGGGACCCCAGTGCCCCAGGGGCTGCGCGCAGGGCGGGCCGAGACCCCAAAACCGGGGGGCTGCGCGCAGGGCGGGCAGGGGCGGGGCGCCGCGCTCGCTGCGCTGCCGGGCGGCGGGGACCCGAGTCATCCCATCCCGTGTCTCCCCAGCGAAGCGGCTCTGCAAGAGCAGCCCGAGCAGCGGGAGCAGCAGCTACGCGCCCAGCAGCAGCGGCCTGAGCTGCGGCGGCGGGAGCAGCGCGAGCAGCACGTGCAGCAAGAGCAGCTTCGACTACGCGCACGACGTGGAGGCGGCGCACATGGCGGCCGCCGCCATCCTCAACCTCTCCACGCGCTGCCGCGAGATGCCGCATAACCTGTCCACCAAGCCGCAGGACCTGTGCGCCGCGCGGGTACGGCCCTGGGGGCGGCTCCCCTGGGGGCAGGCTGGGGCCACCCCCGTCACCCCGGGTGACCCCTGGGTCATCCCTGCTTACCCCAACCCCGTCACCCCGGGGCACCTCTAGTCATCCTGGGTCACCCCCTCTTGTTCCCCTCGGGTCATTCCAGGTCACTCCATTCACCCCCACATCACCCCCTCCAGTTATCCCCGGGTCACCCCTGGGTCATTTCAGTCACCCCCAATCACCCCCACTCACCCACACTCACCCCTGCTCACTCCCAGTCACCCCAGGTCACCCCCAGTCACACTGCCCCCGGGGGTGCGGCCAGCACAGGAGCCTGAACCTCGTGCGCCTTCCTCCCATCGCACCCTTAGTGCACCTTTGACTAGAGCAGCTTTCGCAGCACGCGGTCCTGGGGGCGGTTTTTTGAATGGGGGGCGCCCCAGGCCTTCCGGGTTCCTACATGCAGGTAGACCCCTTTCCAGGGTCCAGAGGCCTTCCTGCTCGCCCAGACACCACCCCTCTGGCCATTTTACAGAGAACGGAGGGCAAAGAGGCACCGGGCCTGGAAACTGAGACACGAGGAGGTCTGGTTGGCACCGAGGCCAAATGAGGCGCGGGTCGTCTCCCCTCCATGCCTCCTGTAGGTCACACACTCCTGGAAACTAAGTCGGACTCCACCCCGGCTGCTCTGTCACGCAGCTCCCCTCAGTGCAAAAACAGTGTAGACGCTAAAACGGACGCAAGGTTTCCGGAGGTCTAATGCCTCCGGCTTTCTCGTGATGGCCTCATTGCCGCGCCAATGGCACGAGAGGCCCTGCGGGCTGCGGAGCTGGGAGAGCTGTGTCCCCGAGGCCGTGGGCGGCCGGGGAACGTGGGCGGCGGCTGCGATGTGCTCAGAGGACAGGCGCGCCGAGTGGTCACCAGCTCCCAGAAACAAAGGGTCTCTCTCCACGAGCTGAAGCTGCTCCACCCACACACCACGAGCCCACAACCCTGACAGTAGTTGTCATAAATAATTGTAATTTGTATGAATGGAGAATGATCAGTGATTTCATGTTTTGCACAGGCTTTCTTTTCTATTAATACTTTCATTCCTAGATTTTGGAGAGGTGTCGGGGCATGCGGTTGCCATGGTGATCAGGGCTGCTAAATGCAAGGCTAGCATGGGAGAAAAAAGACAGGAAACCCTTCCAATTTTTTCACTCTTAAAATTAAATGGAGAGGGAGCTAAGTCCAAGATCACACAGGCTGACCCCCTAGGAAAGCTCGCAGTCAGAAGTGCGCTTCAGCAAAAAGAGTTCAGGCAGAGTAATGCCCATGATTTACCAAGGTACCAGCCCGGAGCACGGGGGTTCCATCCCCAGCATCCTCCCCCGGCTGTCGCATCAGGAGGGAAGTGCTGCCGACATTCCAGTAGGCAACGGCTTTCACGCCAGCTCTGAACCCCCACATTTGCTGGAGAGAGCGGCACTCAGGGAATGCGGGGCTGTTGGGATCTTGGTTCCTCTTCTGTGTCCCCTGCATGTCCTTCCCTCTCTGTCCTCCTGGGAGACGAGCTCTAAAAAATTTTGATCTGTTTCAAAGCACCATTTAAAAAGAGAAATTCACCCTGTAGCTCCTTGTTTTTTTTAAGCCAGTTGACTAAATTACAGGTTTGCTGAAACTTAGACCAGCTCAGTTCATGGTCACTGCAGCAGATTATATGTGATTGCCCAGCCCTGCCTCCCAGTGGACATCCTCCCCATAGGAAGATGTGTGTTCGAAAGTAAATTCTTGCTCCTTCTCCCTCCATCCCTCTGATTCTTTTTGTCCAAGTCACCAGTGAATCTAAAGGGGAATTTTAAACACACGTACACACACTCATACACATTTCTGATCTCTTACCAGGTATTTGAGCTAGAACAGCATTGAAATCAAGCACTTGTTTCATTTTCTTCTGGCCAGACTTATTTCTAAGAGCAGAGATGTACTGGGAAGAAAGGAGATATAGATAGGTGGTAAATAAATGGTAGATAAGGGATAGATAAATTGATAAGAGATAGATGATCAATAGATAGATCGAGAGAGAGGTAGACGCATGTATCTGCCGACCAGGGTTGCAGCTAAGCATAAGGGAGCAGACGTCCCGCGGGCCCCCCCTGCTCACCTTGGGGTATGTGTGAAGGAGATTGCGAGTGAGAAGTGTGCCACTTGAATTCTGTGCTGGCTGAAGGCAGGGCTGCAGTCTGGAGCTGGCATCGTGAGGTCATCCTGTCTTTCTGCCCAGCAGAACCCTGACATGGAGGTGGATGAGAACGGGACTCTGGACCTCAGCATGAACAAGCAGCGGCCGAGAGAGGGCTGCTGCCCCATCCTGACCCCCTTGGAGCCCATGTCCCCCCAGCAGCAGGCGGTGATGAACAACCGCTGTTTCCAGCTGAGCGAAGGAGACTGCTGGGACCTGCCTGTCGACTACACCAAGATGAAGCCCCACAGGGCCGACGACGACGGCTCTGAGGAAATCACCGTACGTCCTGCCCACCAAGCGCGTCAGTAAAGACAGGCCTTAGGAGAAAATACATTTTCTCTTTAAGCATGACCTTACCCGACTAGGGCTTAGAGAGACCTAGGAGACCTAGGAGAGATTTATGACTAACATTGATTTGGTGGACCAAACCATTGACTCCTTCGAATGATGAATCTTATTCTCTAAGAAAATGTACAACAGTGTGCCCGGTCACTCTTCTGGGTGACACTGATATAATACAAGACTCTTTCCTTGCAGGTAGAGAATTATAATGAGAGTCTTAAATACTTACATGGTTAACTCCGTGCTATTTATTAGCTAGCTCTGAAGCTATGGCTAGTGTCCACTTTCAGAGAAACCACACCAGAAACACACACTCCAGCCTTGAGTAAATCATTTTAATACAATCACCTAAATCTCTGTTTTCTAGATTATCAAAACACCCGTATCAAGAACACATGTTTGAAGTACAGTTTTCCCCACTACCCCAAAGCAGAGTGTTCCTCTGAAAACTTCCATAAGCTGGAATGGCTTAAAGGGAAAACAGAGTTACCATTCCTCTATGTGGGAAAAAATGTGGAGGGTTCCCAGACCCAAAAGTCACCTCTCTTAGGCTTTTCTGGTGCCTTAGGACACATCTTACTAATGGAGGCACAAAATAAACCAAGCTGAAGCCCAGATGCTCACAGACAAGTGCAGAGCTCGGGGGTGTGAGGCCGAGAGGCCGAGAGGCTGAGTGTGGCTCCTGGGGAAGGAGATGTGTGGGGCGACTCTCGCTGCTCAGGGTACACGTGGCCTCCACGACGGCTCCGTGCAAAATCAATGCTGAATATTACTTTTGCTTTTTGCTTTTTTTCATAAAGGTGAAAATCCTCCTTGATTTCAGTTAGTGCAAACAGGTACTCATGTAGGTCTTTCATCAAAGTGAAGTAGATTAATGTGAACCTTTAAAAATCAGGGGAATCCCTATAGTTACAGTTCTCAAATGCAAATTATGAAAATAGTTATGACATTCTTTAGGTGAAGAAAAGAAATGAAAACAGCTTGCTTTTTATTGGACTGACTTTTTCTCTAGTGTTGAATTCTGAAAATGATGACATCTTCTTTATCCACTGAAAAATGAAAATTCTTTCTTAATACAATAGGAAGACTGTCCCCAAAGAAACAAGGGGGTGGAGGAAAAAGGAAACATTCGTTGTTTGCAGAAATTGGCAGGGTAGGCACCTGCTTACAAGGCCATTACATCTAAAAGCCCATTATCTTTGCGCTTCAGATTGACTTAGGTATCCAGGCCCTGTAAAAGAAGAGAATATTGGTGGCAAGCTCAATTCCGAAGTCGTTTTTTCTCTCCTGTGGTGTTAAATCGTTACTACCAAATAAGGCATGGTAGTTGAATCTCCAAAAATATTTTTAATTGAAATTGAGCTCTCATAAATCGACAGAAGTATTTTCATCACAGAGACTGTCACAGAAGTAAAAACCACCGGCTCCTTTCTGTGAAACACGTTTGCTGAACATTGCCATCTGTAGGGATGTCTAGGTTACTGCAGTCGGACCCACTTAACCAAGGAGAGACCCTTTTTCTGTGAAGAAAACGCTGCATAGGAAGAACTGGAAATTGCAGCATTATCTACATCAATATTCCCTTGCCTTCGGACTTACAGGCACATATGTAGAATACACCCCAAGACTGGTAAAAGCCCCATTCCACGAGATCTCCAGGTGCAGGGTTTAAACTTTGCAGGGCAGAGCTGGGGAGTGTCATTAGGGCGGCAGCAGTCCGAAGGATATTTATTGGATGTTGAATGAGAAAATCCGGCTCAGAAGTAGTCTCTCTGGTCACCCAGCCATTCACAGGTCCCTCCTGTGAGTGTCCCAGTGGAACATCACGTAAAGCCTTGTGCACCCACAGGTTCCCAGCAATGTAGGAGCCTAGAGCAGCTGCTGAGAAATTGAGCCCACCATGGAAAGGGTTCCCCTTGAACAAGGCCCAGCGTGCCTTTCTAGAAGGGATCTCTTTGGGGCAGAGACCATAACGCCTTTAAGGTCTCCCTGGTGGAGAGGTGGAAGGTGCGGGCTTGGGGGCACCCTCTCATGGGACAGGCTCTAGTCTATGGGTTGAGTCACCATCTGTGCAGCCCTGATGCTGTGTTTTACCTGCAGCCGGAGGACCTGGATCCATTCCAGGAGGCCCTGGAAGAAAGAAGGTACCCAGGAGAGGTGACGATCCCAAGCCCCAAGCCCAAGTACCCCCAGTGCAAGGAGAGCAAAAAGGACTTAATAACGTAAGCATAACGCGACGTGAAATCATTAATCTTAACTTCCCCTTTCTTTGGCTTATTCTTTAAAACCGGACCTGCACACCCCCTGCCGTTGGAGCATGTGCCATCGCAGCGTGTAACCGTCTCCGGCTGCCAGTTCCCTAGAGTGGCCGGCCAGCGTCCACTTGCTTGCTCCCCAAGTGCTCCCGACGCCGCTCTGTGCCGTGGAGACGCCATTTCCATTTGCACCCGTGCACTTGGCAGCTTTTCTGTAGGGCGCTTAAATCCCCTCGCAGACATTGCAGCTAAACTGGAAACAATGAAACTTTTTTAAAGTTTTTTTTTTTTTAAACATACTTACTATTTTGGCTGTTTTTGTTTTTGTTTGGTGGCAGATGTCCAACACCAAGGTGTGATGGGAGTGGTCATGTGACTGGTAATTACGCCTCACATAGAAGGTGTGACTTCATTTTTCTCATGGTGGATTCTGTCTTTCCAATTTATTGTTTTCAGCTTACCTCAACAATGCTGTCAAAGTGAACACGTTGAATTATGTGTCAACCCTTTAAGTGCAATATATGTTGACCTTTAAAAGCATGCTGATTCATGTGTTGTATAATGTCTTTTACTCTTAACCTAAGCTACCTGAATTTGAAAAATTCTTTACAATCATTTAAACCAAAGAGCACAAATATTTCCATCACGGTTTTTTCAAAATTGTTTCCTAACAGACATGTTTCCTTAAATTTATATGTGAACATATGCCAAGTTAACTATACAAAAAAATTCAATATACAGCACTTGCCCATCGCTTTTCTGCATTAAACATTTTAGTTCACTTTCATGTTGTGTGTTCGGGAGCACGCGCTGGCCGGAGGGCCCACTCACCTGACTCTCTGGCCTGTCTTACAGTCTGTCGGGCTGCCCACTGGCTGACAAAAGCATTCGAAGTATGCTGGCCACCAGCTCCCAAGAGCTCAAGTAAGATTCAACAAAAATGTTTCTTTAAAAAAATCCGTTCACCTAATAGTAACATAATGGCTGTGTCATTTGTAAAGAAAACTGTTGTGGAAAACCCAGCTGCACACCTCCGGGCCTTGGGGCCTCGGTCCCTTTTCCGACAACCCATCCTGCCTTTTCTGCTCATTTATCTCTAGCTCTTCCTTATCATAGCCTTTCCTTCTTGAATTTTCTAAGTACAAGCATTCTCTCTCCAGATACGCATGTGGATAGAAGGGAAGTTTTACGGAGTTACTCAAAGTTTTAGGAAATGATCGTAACTTAAAAAGCGAAAAATCGATTGTTTAGAAGTCAGTTGTTAATATGACTACTTAAAATATCGATATAAATGGCACTAATGACAAAAACCCACCGTGATAATAGCTGGTCCTTAGCACCTGGTGGTCACGGCCACAAACACACTCAGGGCAGCGGCTGGCACAGACTCTCAGCACTCTGGTTCCTCCTTCTCCTCTCCGCCTGTGATTCTTTTCTATAGTTTAATCATAAATCCAGTTACCTGCATTCATGTAAAACTTACCAGACTAAGGTTTTCCTTCTTTGTATGTTTACATATGTGTATATATGTGTGTGTTTGTGCATATACACGTGTATTCATACCCAATTCCTAGGCAGGCTTTGGAAAAAGTCAGTGTGAGTCACTGAAGGCATGTTAAAGCCCTTGGGACGCTGGTCAGAGACACGTTCAGGCGGACGAAGGCAAGAGGGCTTGAAGTGGTCCCCGACATGAGGACCAAGAGCCCAGAGTAATTGCTTGTAGTCACCTGACATTGTAAATATCATCCGATGGCTTGACTTCCATTTTGGAAGCAACTTTATGACCAGTGCAGAGAGATCATTCTCAGACCCTGTGGATCCCCAGGGACCCTCCCCTGCACCCCAGTCCCACTGCCCTAGGCCAGGGCGACGCTGGTGTAGGGCTCTGTTTCACACCGTGTCATTTTTTACAGGATCCCTGTCCAAGGCCCTGGTGCCATAGAGCACCTGTTCATGTTCAGTGACCTCCTGAACTAGCCCTTGCGTCTCAAGACCCTTGGATCTCTCTTCATGGCGCATAGACACCTGGAGGCGTCCTCCCACTTGCGGCTTTAAAGTCTGTAGCGCCGTGCACGCAGTGCCTAATGGAGACATAGTCTTTAGAGCCTCAGAACGGACAGAATTAGCAAGAACAACTCCACCCACTTTGTTAAGACATCTTTTTTCATGGCCTGGCAGCATATTTCCCTCACGATCAAAACGTGGCTGACTGCACTTGGGACCCGGCCAGCACGTCAGAGCATGGCAGC